TAAAGTTGGAAGGAATAAAGAAATCCTTAATTGTTTTCAGTTTCCCTGCGGTTTTTGCTTCGTTAATTAACCTACCGACTTCTCTCATTTTCTGCCTAATGTAATCATGCTTTGTCTTATCATGCCCGTGTTTTAAGTACAGGTGCTCTCCGAGTCTCAGAATCCCCTTTTCTGCTTTGACAACACCCGTGACCTCATCCTGATGCATTGCCGAAATTAAAGACCACAGCTTTTTGCTGATGCCCTCCGGTACAGGCTGGGCTAGGGAGCAGAGGGACTGGACCCTACTTCTACCTGGTTTAGCCTGGGCATCTTTCTGTGAAAGCCGGCACCTGGCCACATGCCTCCACAGCGACTTTCGCTTAAGCAATGCCCCACAGTCTATACAGTGCAAAAACTCACTGGATTTAACTGGGGAATTTGGCTGTTTAGCTGGGACTAAAGTTCCAATGCCGGCCTTTAAAACCTCAAAATTGTGCTCACGGTTTCCACTATTCCTGATCAAATCAAACTGAAGTTTACGTGCTTTAGATTTCACAGGTAGAGCCAATGCTCTGGCTACGTCACTTTCATTTCCATGTTTTCTAGTCAAATGACGGGACATTTTGTGGCAGGACATTGAACAGTAGAGGCAGAAGTGTCTCTTGCTGTATACTCGCCCCCCATTTTTCTTCTTTTGCAGCTGCATGATAACAATCTTATTTGCCTTTGGTTCGTCACTTTCCGAGTCTTGAAGAAAAGTGTTTTTGATTTTTCTTTTTCCATACTTTTTTACAGGTTTCTTCTTGACAGTTAAATCGTCAGAATCTGAGTCGACTTCATCAATTAGGGACTCTTGACTAAGCTGCACAAACAACAAATAATTTGTAATCATTCTATATAACAATTTGAAGTCATGACTTGTAGTCAGCACTTACCAGTGGTTTGTAAGCGTGCGCTTCAGTGTGCTCCTCCATGATTTCTTGCAGCCTAATGAACCACACACTTGCACCTTTTTCTAGCCTGACACCTGATTTCCTCTGTTGTGCTGCTCCATGATTGGCTCCAGCCTGCTGGACTGAAATTGCCCCAGTGTGCCCCTCCTTGATATCCCGCAACCCACCACCAGGGTTCCGACACATAACACACTTTTTTCAGGAAAGTAAACCTCCAGGGGTCCTTTCCATATTTTTACAGAGACTGCATAAGGACCGTTAGAAAAGCATTACCCATTGATTATTAAGCTTGGACCAGTGGGGTCCGGTGTTCGGGCCCCACCACGTAAAACCAGTCCCCATGACGTGAGTGGAATCTCAGGTTATGGAACCCACCAGGAGTTGAAAACAAGTGCACACACACACACACACACACACTGCCTCTCTCTCTCCTCTCACACACACACACACTCACACAAACACTGGCCGGTCTGTGTCCTGCTAAGTTCAAAACCTCGGCCCCTGTGGGAGTCCGGGGCCTGGGGCCAGAGCCTCAAAATGGCCGCCTTTGTGTTTGCGTCTGTGGAGGAGCAGAGGAATGTGTGGAAGTGTCACAGAGAGAGAGTGTTTGGGTGAACTGTGAGAGAGGCCACGTGCTACAGTCACAGTTTACACCAGCAGAGAGAGAGAGAGCCATTACTACTGATGAGGAGAGAGACCAGAGAGAGAGCCATTACTACTGATGAGGAGAGAGACCAGAGAGAGACCAGAGAGAGAGCCATTACTACTGATGAGGAGAGAGACCAGAGAGGAAGCCATTACTACTGATGAGGAGAGAGACCAGAGAGGAAGCCATTACTACTGATGAGGAGAGAGACCAGAGAGAGACCAGAGAGAGAGCCATTACTACTGATGAGGAGAGAGACCAGAGAGAGAGCCATTACTACTGATGAGGAGAGAGACCAGAGAGAGACCAGAGAGAGAGCCATTACTACTGATGAGGAGAGAGACCAGAGAGAGACCAGAGAGAGAGCCATTACTACTGATGAGGAGAGAGACCAGAGAGAGACCAGAGAGAGAGCCATTACTACTGATGAGGAGAGAGACCAGAGAGAGACCAGAGAGAGAGCCATTACTACTGATGAGGAGAGAGACCAGAGAGGAAGCCATTGCTACTGATGAGGAGAGAGACCAGAGAGAGATAGACCAGATGTCTTGTCCCTGGTCTCTCTCTGGTCTCCGTTGATCTAAAGATGTAACAGACCTGATTAGTCCAAAAACAAATGAAACTATTGATAGAAGCAACAGTTTTAGAGCCAGGACCAGAGACGTAGATTTTATCACATAATTCTGTTTTATTACTTGATATTTACAAACCCGAGCTTTAAGGAACTGACACACGTTGTGCTCAGGTTGTATACTGTTTCAGTTAAAGCCAATATACACGTTGCCTAAACTTGCCTTCTTCAAATGCATTCATTCCATTAAAGTATTTTGTAACTTGTAATTTTGAAGTTTACTAAATGGAAGTAATACGTATTCATAAGGTTTAACATAACTCCAGGTGCTGTGGCAAACAGTTGATCTTTTCTCTAACCACTAAGGGTTCACATTTATCCGGTACAATAATACAAATGAGCAATATTTTTATTTATACTTTAAGTAAACTCATACACACACATGATCCGTAAATATATTAAGAATAAAAAAGCAGTATAAAGAACATATTTACAACCGTTCATCCATGACTTGTCTGTATTGTCTGTCGTCTATTATAAAGACTGCGCAAGATTCTGTCTGGAAAATACAGTTGAGCTCCACAAAACAAGTCCAAGAATCCTTAAAACAAGTAAAATGTCCTGTTTCGTTGCTTTGGCTATGCACGCAGCCTGCTTTCTGCTGTTCCCATCCGGACGAAAATAATGGTGCACAGCCTTTGGTGCATACTTCCGGTTGCGCAAAAATAAAAAATCAAATATCAAGGCAATTTTTCGTTTTTCCTTTTGCTCATCAAAATGAAAAATAAAAAATTCAAGCCATTTTTTGATATTTCATTTTCAATCTTAATTAGAAAAAACTTTCTATTTGGGGAGTTTAGTATCCCCTGTTGTCCTGAAGATTTTTTTTCTTCTTAAAGTTTTCTATAAATCTACATTTTAGCATTATAGCTCAATCTGCTCAATTGTCTCCCTCTCTAACTCCGCTCTGATCAGCAGCTCTGATTGGTCAGGACGCGCCGTGCCCCTCTGTGCACGTGCATGAGAGCGCAAAGCATCATGGGATCGGGAGCTCTGCCGTATTTGAGCATCTGGGAGGATCAGACGATGCTCAAATACGGCAGAGTTCCTCTAATCTTTCGGTGCCCATGCACTACTGAGCACAAGCCTTTGATTTCAATAGGGCGCCATTTTGGGTCGCCAGGGCTTAATTTTAACCAGCATCAGGATTTTCTGTTATTTTTCTCAAGTTGCTCTGATCAATTGGCCACTTATCTAATCAGCGATGTCGAAGGGTTATATCAATACTTCTTCACTGCACGTACTTGTATCTGGGAGAAAAGCATTTTCTTACCATGACAAACCTACATGCGGGTCCCTTCCACAGTTGCAGCGTTCTCACCAGGATCCTGAATACATCCTGAATATTTGAATATTCTGAGATTATTTTTAAAGGAAAGATTGCCCTGCCCTTTTGTCCACTAATAGAACAGAATAAATATATAAAACAAAATCCAAATTTAATTTTAGCTTGGAGTTATTTTTCCTGCCTTTTGTCTTGTATTTCAGCCTTTGTTATGGTTCTAATTTTAGCTCTTGTGGTGTTTGTCGGCACATGCCTGTATATTTTTAGGAAATTACTTTTTGTAGACCCACAATATTTACACAATGTGTCTCTCCAGCAGCAGATTACTGTATCAATATTTACCCCAAAGTTTATTTTGTTGTTCACTCATGGCTAATGTATCTATTCTCATTTTATTGGAGCTTATTAGCTATCCAGCAAATCAAACAAAAGCATAGCGGTTTGTTTCCGCCGATGAAAGCAACCATCCTCAAACTAATTTCCCCAACAAATATTGAAACATCTTGTGTTTACAAAGCAACATGTGTTGTATTTCGGAAACCCCCATACATCATAGAGTTGGGGTATGAGATTTCCATGGTAAAAAATGCTACAGTGTAATATACCGTAGAGTTAACAAAACATGTATGTGAACTGGTTTTATAGTTTCTAAACGTATATTCATATTCAATTTGAATACATTAATACATCTACCAATCTGATGTCATAATTTGAAATCGACCTGTGATTCTGGCCTATATTTTTCCAAGCTATATTTTTCATATAAGCTCAGGTTATATCTTGATATGAAAAAAATAATGTGAATTTCTTCACAATATGCGTCTCGATGCATTATGAATCAAACCAAAAAGGCTCGCAGGGGGCTGCGAAAATCCCCTCCCTGCCAGTGTGCATCAGGGCTGGAAAATTTTCTTTGGGAAACTTTGGTCGCTATTTGACTCTTTGGGCTGAGTGCTGATCTGAGCTGTAGATAATATAGATGACATTGATAAAGCACTAGAAAATGAATGAATTAATCTGGTCTGTTTGCACAGTCCCTTTGTGTGTGTGAGTGTGTGCGCCGTTCATAAAGTTTTTCCTGTCACCAGTGTATGCGGGGGAAAAAAACCTTCGGCTGTTGGCTGAGCTACTCGCATTTGAGTTATAGTGTCTGATTTTTGTCTGAATAAAGGGGTTTGTCTTTGTCCGAAGTAAGGCAAAGTCAGTCTAGTGCATCCAGTCTTGTTGCAGCAGATGAACGGATGACGATCAGGGGCTGCCACGTATGTTGTTCTGCTTACTCCTCAGACCCTGGTGTAGGTGCCACTGATCTGAGTATCCCAATGGGTTTTTTTCCCGCAGTTTTCACCACTCACTGGAGTGCCTGGTCTGCCTCCGTGGAGTTAGAGAACCACACTAAAAATCCATGTCAAAATACTGCTGATGACATCTGTGTTATGGTGTTACGGTCCCTGTTGATGTATTTTACTATGTTTAATTTCCATTATTTCTTCTAAATTTTAGCAGACCTATGGAGCCGCCATTAAAAAAGGATTCTATACCCTTGGCAATGAGGCAACCAGACGAATGGAAGGATCCTTGGCGAAGGTCAAAATCTCCAAGGAGACGTGCCAACATGGGTTCGCCACCGAGAGGCCGACGCCGGCATCGTCCTTCAGGCTCCTCTGTGTCTCTTTCAAACTCGTCCAGGTACAAAGTGAAAATGGAAAACCTTTCTTGTTAAAGATTGCTGTGGTTCTGTCATATTGCTTTCTGAAACCCAAGTAGTGTAGAAGTTCTGTATTTGAAATGCACTTCTTACAAAAAGTTAGGGTTATTTTTTTTTGCGATACCGGGTTTACTCATTAATTACCAGACTTTTTTTTTTTTTTTTACTCTTTGAATACTAATACTAAGACTACTAGTCACCAAATGTAGACCTGAATTAGATTAAAATCCTACCCTTTGTAAGTGGGGAAAAAAGTATGCTTCAAAGAAAAAAAATTACATAATTAGTTATTTCAAGTTTTGCACACAGACATGTTACACAAAATTACTTGATTATAATGGCCATTTACTATTTAATCGTTTTCCATTAGGTTTTGTGTTTTGTTCCATGATAGTCACTAATTTCGATAAGAGGAATCTCTTATCCTCTTATCGAAGTGGAAAGGATTCCCAATTTCCAACCTTAGTTACAATGTTCTACAGTTACTTAATGAGGTAAACGTCAGCAAGAAACATTAAATGTCCTTTAGACTGCCCTTTAGATTCTGGCGCCCTGATGCTGGGCACATTGTAATGATTTGATTTCCTTGTGTTGTGTTGTAGGTCGTCATCTCGCTCCTCGTCCTACTCTGGCTCCGGCTCCTCTCGCTCTCGCAGCCGCTCCTCCTCCTTCAGCTCTTACACCAGTCATTCTTCACAGCGCAGCTCTTTCAGCGGCAGCCGCTCCAGGTACCAAGTCATCGATGACGACAAAGTTACGAACAACTGCAGTGAAGTGAAAGCAATATGATTTTCCATTCCTAAAGCTGCATGACTAAGATCCATCCCAGAGTCCCCCAGGTGAGCTGTGGATGTCAACTGGGCCTCTGCTTTTCTGATCAGTGTTGTCATTGCTCAAACTGTTAATTTGTCTTGTGAGGTTTGCCGTGGTGCCATACTCTTTCCATTTTCAGATTACGGACAAAACTGTGCCCCATGAGATGTTCATAACAACGCTGGGTCAAACTTCTCCACGACCGCAGTCCTTCCTGGTGTTCTCGTTGGTATGCTGTTTAGAGTCAGACCCAATCAAAACCTCTCTTTGTTTTAAGAATGGATTATGCATTGATGGGTTCTATTTGATTATGACAAGATGTGAGTATTCAGCTGCCATTTCAAAACGTTTAAAGGAAATGCAACCCAAAAAACTAAATAATGGAGAATATTGCTTTCACTTCAGTTGTCTGTTACTTTCTTGTGGTGTTTGACGAAAAAAGTGACTTAAGTTGCGTCATCTCTTGTTCTGATTATGATTCTAAAATAATTCCTTAGGTCTCGATCTTTCTCTTCGTCTCCATCTCGGAGTCCCGCACCACCCAGAAACTCAAAGAACAGACCAGTCCCTCCTCCAGGCCCCAAAGGGTAGGTTTATTGTGACGGTGTTTCACTGTGCTCTTACATAAGAATACCTGCTAAAAACGCTGTGTTTGTCTTTGTAACCAGATGTTTCACATCGTTTCACATCCAATTTGATTAACCTAATTAACAATTAGACAGTCCAATGATATTAATGTCCATTTGCTTCCCTACAGTGTGCCGCCAAAGCCTGGTGCCATGCCCCCTCCTCGCAGAGACAAGCCTCCTGTAAAAAAAGCCCCCACCCCTCCTCCTCCTACACCTCCTCCTGGACCACAGGCCAGACCTCCCAAAGCTCCAGTAGAGCCAGTGAAAGCCCCCATCACTCCCCGGGACCCTCCAGTGACTGGTGCCTCAGGAGGAGGCGCTGCAGCAGGACGACCTGCTCCTCCCAAAGAGCCCGGTAAACCTCCCAATCCTCGTGAAGGCAGACGTAAGGAGCGCCACGCTCCACGAAGGTAAGCGCTGAGTAAAAACTAGGAATGCACTGAATCTGACGCCCAACCACAGACTGGATATTATAACCTCTTTTAAGGTGAATGTGAGGCCAAAGTACATCAAACGTTTCTGCTCATGTTACACAAAAACTATTTCACATGTCGATCTGAGATTATTGATCCAGTCTATGTGAAATAAAGACTGTTTGGTCACACTTTATGGTTAATTAGCTCCTAATTGGTATTTATTTAGCACTTATTAGCACTTATTCTACATAGCCTTATTCAACATCTATCTACTAACTGACACTTTACCGTGTGGGTTAGGGTTAGCTGTGTGCTAATCTAAAGTGTTGCCCTATGTTCTTGTTACACTGCTCTTCACTGTATATTGGGGCACAAGCTTTTTTTGTAAGTTATACCCGAGGCAGCTGCAGATAAAATAGTAGCTTGCCCGTGAATCATTAACATTTGAGCATTTGGGAACTCATACACAAAAACTAATATGTTATTCATAATTTTGACTGGTTGGTACTTCACCTACTCGAGAGCTACCTCTTACTTCCGAGTGGGTGTCTCATCTCAGTGATTCTCCTGTAACATATATGCAAAAATCCATAAAGGTGTGTGCTGTCACTGGAATTTGTGTCTCCATGGGGAAACTCTTGGTCTATCCCAACGTGGATGGCGTAGGCGTGTGCAAGTTGTTTGCATGCAGTGGTGCTCTGTCTAAAGGGCAGGAAACAACAGCAATAGAGTGTGGGCAGATGCAGATTGTGTAGTGTGTTCTCAACATGTGAGTGACTTTAGTCCTGACACATCAAGATTGGCTGTTTTGAAATATTATTGCATGTTGCACACGCAACGCAATATTAAATGAAAATAATACAATAATAATACAATATCATATTCAAAGGCTCTAGAGTTAGTTTAGTTTAGTTTATTTATTTAAGATGACAAGGACAGTGCACAATAAACATTAACCTCAAAAGGAGAGATGCATTGTACCAGGTTATAGCTCAAGAGCTAATTTCCACCTGTAGTCCCTGGGCAGGCTGATGTTATATCACATAAAAAAAATAACACACGTTCATGGATGTAGTTTACATTTTCTGGTTCACATTATTCAAGATGTGATTTAGATCTAGTTTAGACTGGTTCAGTCCTGGTCAAGACTTGGATACCTCTGCTTTGATTGTTTGAAGTGAACATTGGGCACTTGCTCATTGACACTGGCACACATTATATACATTATATTCTGCTTGGTTTTTAATTGTTTTTATAGATTCAAACCCTCAAATGAAGCTAAGTCTTCCATATTTCACTCTGTATAAAGTCAGCTGTCCATGGACCCATCTGGGGTCAGCGGAACGATTGGGAGAGGACTGTCAAAGGACTGGTGTCTGATCCAGGGTTTTTGGCTGATACATGTGTGACAAAATGTTAGTGTGAATTTAGCCTCCAGTGCTGCGGGTGGCTAGCAATATCCTGATCAGATATGATATTCTGTGGTGGATGTATGATGAAACTCGCATGGGTATTAAACACAATCCGCCGGTAATTCACTGCTGCAATAACAGTATGATCATTGTGTGATTGTCTCTTCAGGAGGACGGTGAGTGGCAGCGCCAGTGGAAGTGGCAGTAGTTATAGTGGCTCCAGCTCCAGGTCCAGATCTTCATCCAACTCCATCTCACAATCCGGCTCCAGAAAGTCCAGGTGTTTATCAGAAAAAAACTCTTTCATTCATCCAGGACTGACCCTTTCATGAAATTAGTTATCTGCAATTTCAATTTGCTATGTTGGGAAATTTTTCTAGGGGACAAGTACATTTCTTGTTTAAACTAATCATTTGCATGCAAACCTCTGAAGCTGTGCAAGGCAGGGCCAGGTTAGTGCTGTGATGGGAGACCTCTGAGAACAGCTGGTGACACAGTGGGGTGGCTGTAAAGTGACAAACTGTTGTGGTGTCCTTAGGCAAGACACTTCACACACATTGCCTAGAATTAGTCTGGTGTGACAGTAGCTCAGTTGGTAGAGCATTAGCCTTTGGGCCTGAAGGTCGTGGGTTCGAGCCCACCGTAAGACCTACTTCACGACTCCCACTGATGACTGTTGTCGTTGTGTCCTTGAGCAAGACACTTAACCCCACTTTGCCCAATGCCCCAACTGAAAGATCTCAGCTCCTGTGGACTCACCACCTGCAGGAGGATCATTGAGGGGCTGGTGCTATGTGTACTGGTTGCAGCTCTGACTACCACCCCCCGACCCAGAAATGGATTAAGGGGAAGAAAATGGATGGATGGATGGGTGTGTGTGAATGGTTGGTGGTGGTCGGAGGGGCTGATGGCACACTAGTTGCCTCTCTTCCGTCAGTGTGCCCCAGGGCAGCTGTGGCTAGTTCATCACCACCGTGTATGGAGTGAAGGAATAATGACATGTCAAGCATTTGTGTCCTGAAATAAGCGCTAATTAAAACCCATGCATTATTATTATATACATAACTCACGCAATCAAACACTATTGTATTACTTCCATTTGATAGAATCAGGTTCATTGTTTTTTAAGTGTAGACTTTTCCAATTCTATACATTGCAAAAGGTGATTCAGATTCATTTTATTTACCATTTGCAGCAAAACCACATTGGAATACATTTGCAAGAGTCCCCAGTGTGCACAATACAGGTACATAAATAAAACAAGATTAAAAGTATAGGAATAAAACAAACACAATTAACACTGTGAAATTGACCAGAAAAAACAGTTTCAATACAAAGGCAAGATCATTGAAGTGCTCTGTTTAAACCGACAGTTTCAATGGTCTACATTGGTCATTATTTCAACCTTAGGCTTTGGTCATCAACAAAAGATTTCTCTCCACTAACTCCCACGTTCATTTCAATCATTAACGGCCTCATTCAGCTGATTCAACATATAATATGATATATATTATATAATAACTTATGCTCTTGTACCAACTCTCTGAACAACACTTCCTTTGTGAGAAAGAAAACTACCTCATCAAGTCCTATGTCAATCCGAATGATCCATCTGTCACCCCCAACAGAGGAGGTAATGTAATGGTCTCAGTGTGTACGTTCGTCTGCAAGAAGGATTGTGCAACTACGATTGGACGGTTTGAGCTGGAATTTAGTGCGTAGATGTGATGGTAGTTTGATCCCATAAGAAGTTCAGAATGATCTTTGTTGTTGATTGAAATATAAGTAATATCTTTTCCTCCAGGCTTCAATACAATCCCGTTTTCATTCTCCATGTATTACTCCTTTGTGTTCTAATAACTACATCTCAACACCACGATTTATAAGAATGTCAAATAGCTTTTTTGAAATACCAGGATCACGATTGGCTGCACAAGCAAAATCCAACACCAGAAATAAGCCCTTTTATTTTCATCTTGGCATCTTGTATTCATTTGGATGGGACGGTACGTATTCATGAACTGCAGATTATTGCTGTTTTTCCCACTGTACCGCACTTTGAATCTCTACAAGTGCTTTTTAATGAATCAAAATGGTTGTTTCTGTCGTGGTTTGCAGATCGCTGAGTGTGAGCAGCGTGTCGTCTGTGTCGTCGGCCTCCAGCAGCAGCAGCTCAAAGCGCAGTGCAGACTCGGACGACATGTACGCAGACCTGGCCAGCCCAGTGTCGTCCGCCAGCTCCCTTTCGCCAGGCCGCACGCGCAAGGACCGGCCGCCGCCCAAGGACCGAGCGCCGCCCAAGGACCGAGGGCCACCAAAGGACCGGGTGCCGCACACCAAAGACAAGGCCAGGGGTCAGTCATTTTAGGAAGTAATACATGTATACCAATTATTCATGCACTAATACTATGCTACAAGTTATGGTAAAATGGCTTTTCTTTGGCGGTAATCAGAGTAACAAAGTGATATAGTACATTATGGCACTTGAACCTGAAAGTTGGATCACAAAGAGCACAATATGGCTGAATTAAATCATGTTCATTTCAAATCAATTTGTTTGTACAGCCCAATATAATTCACTTTCCCTTTCTTAAATCTATAAATTATCAAAGAATGAATCGTTCTTTATGTAATTCTTCATATTCTGTTGACGTATTTTTACCATAAAGTATTAGTTAGTACAGAGTAGGGGTGCAATGGTTTGAAAAAAATCACGGTACGGTTCGTACCTCGGTTCAGAGGCCACGGTTCGGTTCATTTTTCAAAAAATAAGTTTTGTCTTTTTAATAAACACGGCTCATGTGGACTCGGCACCTGCTCTGACTGCCCCCCCCCCCCTGACCTAGAAATTAATTAAGGGGAAGAAAATGGATGGATGGATGGATGGATGGAAGGCATATTCCATCCATCCAATTATGTCTTTTTAACATAATCAGTGAAAAACAACACAAAGTGCAACATAAGAAGGCACTTTATGAGGGTATTTACCCTCATATATTAAACCACCTTCCTGATTCTCCCAAGAGAATCAGGAAGGCTCCATCCTGGGCCCAGTCCAGCCTCATTCACTGCATTTATTTAATTTTTGGCATTATCAGTTGTGACTGGAATATTAGTACTGGGCCTTTGTCTTCCATTCCTCCGCTGCTTGTGTCAGAACCTGCGCTGTGTGACTGTCGTAGAGGGCCAGACTTTTCATCTCCCAGTCTGCTGTGATGAAGTTCTCCGTTCCGCTCATGGATCTATAGATTCCGCTGGACGTCCAAGCGTCTGTCGTGAGCGCAGCTGAGGATGCGTGGGAGAGTTGACTTTAGCCCGGTCTGATTGTGCGTAAAGGAGCTGCTTAAATGCCGCGGCAATAAGCGGTCGTTTAGACGCTTTTTTTCACTCATGTCTTTCTTTTGCCACAGTATCTACACACTGTGACAGTTGTGTCGAATATTAATTATCAGTATAGTTACAGTGAACCCAAAATGCTCTCATACTGGGGATTTAAATGACGCGGGGCTTTCAAGCTCCTCCGTTCCTCTGCTCGCTGTGACCACGCTGTGTGTGGACTGAACAACGTGTGCACAACTTTTTTTTTTATAAATCAAACCGCGGATCACGTCTGTACCAAACGGATCACGGATCATTGATGAACTGTTGCACCTCGAGTACAGAGCTGATACTCATGCTCATGTCTACTTAATGCAATCTATTTCTGCTGATTAAGCCTAAATGCTACAAATGTCTGGAATGAAAAATGTTTCAGTGAAGCAACTTCTACTTCTTATGCCGGATTTCTCTGTTGCAAAGTTACACCATGACTTTCATAACCATCTCATTATAGAGCGCCCCCCTAAGAAGGAGGAAGGCCCACAGCGAGAGGAGCGCAGGAAGACTGAGGCTGGTGGTGGTCCTCCTCAGAGGGGGAACCCTGTGCCCCGCTCGGCTCCAGGGAGCAGAGGTGCACACCCTTCTCCTGGAAACACTGCACCTCCAGCCGGCTACAGCGGGTCCGGCTCTCACAAAGACATCAAACTGACTCTTCTTAATAAGGTCCGTAATTATTACATGTTTGTGGTAATGTGGAGGTGGGAAATGTCATCTGTTGAACCGCAGTTATTTTTCTTGTACTTTTTGGTAAATGTTTTGTTTTATATATTTATGTGTCTAATCATACTAAGTAGAATATTGTTATTAGCTTTATAAAAAAAAAAATAAAGCAACATTTTGCATTATTTATTTGGTTTCTCCAAATGTGCAGCTCACCAGCTGTTAACCCGTCTTTTAGACCCTTTTAGACACTTGTTTAGGGTCTAAAAGGGTTTAAATCACTATGGCAGGTCATTTTGACGCGAGGGCACGGGTTAAAAGTGGTAGAGTTATCATTCCAAGAGCGTTTTTTAATACACATTTTCACAAAGGTGTTCATAGATGGTAAAAGTCACTTCCTGGTTTGAATGCAAATATGTTTGCAGATCTCTATCTCTTACTTTCAATGGCATTACATCACCACCAGTCAGTCATTTAACACAAGTCATCACGTAAAAATCTGCCACAATTGTCAAGTTGTGTAAACTGTTGTAAAAACAGGATAGAATGGAATTAGTGGAAGCATGGTTACTTTATCCCACTTTAATCACATTTAGTTTGTCTATTAGTTACACATTTGTTGCTGCTGGTGTCTAGATTGAAACTCAATAGTATTTAGTGACATGGACTTTTGATTTTCAGCAACAGACTGATAAAGGAAACAGGAAAAGGTACCTGCCTTCAGACAAGGACAGGCCTGTGTCTCCTGTGAGCAAAAGGATGGCCCTGTCTCCTGACAGAGGTGAGAACTTTGTATTTAGGGCATCAAGGAGACTCCTGATGCTTTATAGTTGGTAGTTTCCTGTGACCTCCTGGCTTCATGTATGTGTGTCATTCTGGGTCAAACAAAGTGTTCTTTTTCTATAGGACGAGACAAGAGAGTTCCTGGTCGTGCTCCTCCTTCTCCTCGAGCAGAGCGCCCCAAACCCCCGGGATCACGGCCTCTGGGCCCGCAGGGAGACAGGTCAGTGCTGGAAGATGCTGAACAATAACATTTATTTATTTATAAGCTATTTCCCCTTGAGATTAATCATCTATTTTATTGAGGGCGTCCTTGTCGTCCGTTTGCCCTGCCAAACAGTTATAAAACAAAAGTTGCATACAAAGCCACAGACAAGACAATATGCACATAAGAACATAGAATAAAATAAAACTTTGTGTGCTCATGTCCACCATGCCCCTCTCAAACCCTTGACCCTATCCACTCATACAGTTACTTTGGGGACAGTTATTACTTTGATTGTTGATTTATGATGATCTTAAAGCTACTTATAGCAATCACATGGTGTCTTAATGTATGTAACTAAGGCGGCTTTAAAAATTACGGAAATAGATTTAATTGTGTCAAAACAATAACTCCTAATATATGATGTATATATTATAGGGCTGTCAAACTATTTAATAAACTTATCGACTTAATTACAGCGTCAAAATGTATTAATTGTAACTAATCGCATTTTGAACTATCGGCAAAATTATGCCATATTTTTCGTTAAATGGTTGTTTGAATGGAAATATAAATGACAACATAGTGCACATATGTACTGTATTTGTTTATTATATAATAAATCGACATATCATTGCATTACCATTAGAACCTAAGGGTACCTCACAATACGATACGCGATACAAAGCTCACGATAGCGATCACTATATGACAATTACAGTGCCTTGCGAAAGTATTCGGCTCCCTTGAACCTTTCAACATTTCTCCACATTTCAGGCTTTAAATATAAAGACATTAAAAAAAATGGTCAAGAATCAACAAGTGGGGCACAATGGATTCAGGTCTGGACTTTGACTTGGCCATTCTAACACCTGGATACGTCTATTTGTGAACCATTCCATTGTAGATTTGGCTTTATCATTGTCCTGTTGGAAGATAAATCTCCGTCCCAGTCTCAGGTCTTTTGCAGACTCCAACAGGTTTTCTTCCAGAATGGTCCTGTAATTGGCTCCATCCATCTTCCCATCAATTTTAGCCATCTTCCCTGTCCCTGCTGAAGAAAAGCAAGCCCAAACCATGATGCTGCCACCACCATGTTTGACAGAGGGGATGGTGTGTTCAGGGTGATGAGCTGTGTTGCTTTTACACCAAACATATCGTTTTGCATTGTGGCCAAAAAGTTCGATTTTGGTTTCATCTGACCAGAGCACCTTCTTCCACATGTTTGGTGTGTCTCCCAGGTGGCTTGTGGCAAACTTTAAACAAGACTTTTTATGGATATCTTTGAGAAATGGCTTTCTTCTTGCCACTCTTCCATAAAGGCCAGATTTGTGCAGTGCACGACTGATTGTTGTCCTATGGACAGACTCTCCCACCTCAGCTGTAGTTATCTGCAGTTCATCCAGAGTGATCATGGGCCTCTTGGCTGCATCTCTGATCAGTCTTCTCCTTGTTTGAGATGAAAGTTTGGAGGGACGGCCGGGTCTTGGTAGATTTGCAGTGGTCTGATACTCCTTCCATTTCAATATAATTGCTTGCACAGTTTAAAGCTTGGGAAATCTTTTTGTATCCAAATCCGGCTTTAAACTTCTCCACAACAGTGTCTCGGACCTGCCTGGTGTGTTCCTTTGTTTTCATGGTTCTCTCTGCGCTTTAAACAGAACCCTGAGACTATCAAAGAGCAGGTGCATTTATACGGAGACTTGATTACACAGAGGTGCATTCTATTTATCATCATCAATCATTTAGGACAACATTGGATCATTCAAAGATCCTCACTGAACTTCTGGACTGAGTTTGCTGCACTGAAAGTAAAGGGGCCGAATAATATTGCACGCCCCACTTTTCAGTTTTTTTATTTGTTAAAGTTTGAATTATCCAATAAATTTTGTTCCACTTCACGATTGTGTCCCACTTGTTGATTCATGACAAAAAATAATTTTTTATATCATGTTTGAAGCCTGAAATGTGGCGAAATGTTGAAAGGTTCAAGGGTGCCGAATACTTTCGCAAGGCACTTGGTCAGCAATATATGGCATACATAATATAGAAAAATATTTAGTGAAAAATACACTATTTCATGATAAATGGAATGGAGATATGTAATGTGGCCATATATTAAGTATTGATACTAATTATTTTTTCAAAATCGATACTTGGCAAATGCATATTGATAATCGCGGGAGAAAGTATCACGATATATCGAAAAACTCCCAATTTTTTGATACACTCCCAATTACCATTATTAACATTGTCTTTCTTTAGTAGACTCAGACAAAAAAATGTGTTACAGGGATGAAATGGGTCTGAAATGCAGAATGTCATTAAATCTGTTTGATTTGCTCACAACATTTTACTTTTGAGCACAACCAACATTAGCTTTTAATGAAAGGGAAAATGTACATACCCCAGCTTTAATTTAGCGAGTTAAGTTGCGTTTCGGTTTAGCTGTTTCTTTATTGAGTGCACAGGTTACGCAAAGACACGCACACAACATGCCGAGAATAGTTTTGTGTGTGTATGGTCTTTGGTATTGTCTTGTTAAAGCGGCACCGTTCGCTGTGTTATTAGCGGCTCACAGCCCGTAGCTGCCCCGGGTCACGGAGGCGGACTCCAGTTCAGTTCATAGCAAATAACAGCAAGTGCCCCGCGGTCACGTGTGTATTCTTTTATAACTTTAGTTCCATGAGGGCCTACCTGCTCTGTTGCCATCTCACACACACTTGTGTCCGCGGCACTTGAGTGTTATTATGGGATATATGGGCGGGTCATTCGGACATGTGTCAATGGCGTTATTTTTTATAGATTCAGATTCAGATTCATTTATTTCGCCATTTGCAGTAACACTAATTATAATGGGATGAATGAAAAAAAAATATCAACGTGCGTTAACGCAATAATTTTGACTGCCCTAATATATTACAAATAATATTGTGTGTAAAGTGTTTTCTTCTGTCTCAGGAAACGTCCCATGTCGCCCCCTCCAAAGACATCAGGAAAAGCACAAGGTGCTCCCTCCGGCAAAGTCACCACCCCGGGCTCCACATCGGCCTCGAGCACGGGCTCCAGTAAACCCAGCAACACGCTTTCTCGCCGCGAGGAGCTGCTGAAACAACTGAAGGCAGTCGAGGACGCCATTGCTCGCAAACGGGCCAAGATGCCGACCAAATAGACAGTTTCACCCGTCAGTCTTGCTCTACGGAGCCGTGTGCATCGCCGACTGCCTCTTGCCGAACATGTAAAAAATGTGTGTGGTTTAATGTGCCAAGGCAGACGCTGCTCAAGATCATGGCAAGTGCGTCTTGTTTGGCCCTCAGAGATCCCAACGAGAGCTGGAGCATTTTATTTGGGAGCCCTGTCATGAATGGACAGACGGAGCGAGGGAAGGATCACGCCACCCGCCACTCAGGCCACATCCTTGTAAATTATATTATCAGACTCGTTTTGGTCTTTTATTTTCACCATCAACCTGTTGGCATAATTTTACAAACCGTTACGTCTGCTTTGTCTTGAGGCTCTTTGTAAGCATTGGTATTTAAAGTGTAGTCCTCTCATCTCATTAGGAATCAAACCAACACCACCTACGAGAAAACAGTTCCGAGATGGCTTTACTTTTAAAGGGTGGCAACAAATTCCTTCCCTTCAACTTTACCAATGTTTTATTTGTCTTTTAGTTTGATGAATGAGAGATGGACTTGTAGAGCTAATAAATGTCATGCTTTTGTGATAAAAGCCTTCTAAATAAACTATTTTGATAAAGATAATGTGCCTTACCTGTAGTTTGCTCTGCACATAGAGGAAAGTGTCCATCATGCCTGGCTTCAGTTGTTTGAATGACGACATCTCCATCTTGTCGGTGCTTCATAGTGAGCGTGTCGAGTACTATGCTGTTAGAATAGCGAGCTCACAATTTTCTTTTCTATTACTTGAAGCTATTTGATAATAAAATACCATCTGATGTGGCCCACAGCTTATCTTTCAAATAATACATGTTTTTCTGCCTTATCCTGTTTAGATTTATTTATTTTCCACTCTTATATTTTTACTGGTTGGATTCGTTCCAAGACTCCAACAGCAGTCATCGCATACCAACTTATCTTGTTGGTTTTGGTTTGTCTGGATTTCATCGATGTGGACGTCCTTAAGCTTCACTTTAGTTGTATCCACATTTATGATTTACTTTTGTTTTATCATTGACAGATTATGGATTTATCTGATTCATAAGGAAACCTTGTTTTAACTTTTACTTCCTCTAGATAGTCAAGTTACATTCAATCTTCTGTGTTCTATATCTAAATCAAAATAGTTTTCAGACATTAACCTCTTCCTGATCAGACTCGTGGTCAGGCAGAGGTGGTGGTGTGGTTCTCGCAGGTCGTGTTGTCATTTATTAGAAACACTCAAACCGCAAAACTCAGTCAGTGATATTGGCAAGTACATCGTCCTACATGAATGTGGATATGTCATGCGAGCTACCCACCATACCTGTTTTTACTTGGTCACAACATACAAAATCTGAGGGTGCAAAGATTCACTCACGTTAGCATCCTTACCTTATGTTAGATTCCATTCGTTCTCCATCTCTTTTGACAATAAACAAGCGTCCTATAGCTACTAAAACTAAATGGAAATCAAAGTCCATAAATTCTGCTCCGACAACAGCCCAACGAAACGCATACATTGGCTGCATCGCAATCTAGCCTGCAGGGTTCAAATGAATTACAGTAATTACAAGACTTTAATATTTCAACAAAGAATACTCCATAGTGTGGTTTCAACTTTTTAATTATAATGACTTTTTTTTTTTTTTTAACCCAGTACGAGCTTGACCTAGGCCACTACCATGAAGTATGGTTCCACTGGATTGTGTGCGGTAATGATTGCCAAGGTAACTCTACCTTTAGTTCATCATCAGGACTTCCCTGTGACGTACTGTCTGAATATTAACTCTCAGGCTTCCCTTTCACATTTAACTTCTTTGATTTTATCTTTTCAATGCCAAGCAAAGAACTGGTTTCACATTTGTTTGAGAACATTGTGTCACTTTTAAAGTGATTGTAAGAAAGAAAAGAATTCCTAATAGGCTGTGGTGAATAGTGACAAGGCTTTATAATTTGTATGAGGTGTCCTATAGGGAAAGGTGACCCCAGAAATGGTTGTTTCGAAATGGACCCCAGATTGCCTCCTTTATCTGGGCTAGACTCTTATTTGCGTCCCTCGTCCCTGTCTTGCATATAGTATCCCCCTTCAGCCGAGGATAAAACACTTTCCTTTGTTCATGGTCTTGGTGGTTTTTCATTGGTGCCATTTCTTTCTATGGAAACTTAAACTTTAGCCTGGATTAAACCGTGCTCTGTGAGTTTAGAAGATCTTTGTATTTATACCTAAACATTGAAGAATAGTTTCAAAAGTAGTCATCTGGATAAATACTATGACAAGGCACTGTACTTTACACTGATGCCTGGCAGCAGGGTTGTCTGCAAAATGCCCAGGTATTTAAAGGAAGCCCAAAAAGTCCACTTACACATGTTGTTGATCCACTAAAGGAAACAACACAACCACAAGTTGTCTGTTGTACATTGCCTTGAACAAAGGTGCAATAATCAATTATGTTTTATTTATATGACCTACTTTGAAGTTGACTGACTACTGTACAGTAAACAAATACATTTATCAGTCTCACCAGTTGCTGTTGTCATTTCTGGAGCCGACAACAACATGCAGGGCTTTTTCAATTCAATGTTTTGTATAGCCCTAAATGACAAAGTCCATCCTTGTAAAATCTCAGGACTTTACAAAGTTGCCAATTCTCCAACAACACATCGGAGAATCAAACGGTTCGACCACAGGAAATGCAATAATAACAAATGTGTAGGAGCCATCGGTCTTTACGGAGCAGGAGGACCATTATCCAGAAATGTAAAAAATAAATGCAATCAGATCACAAACCTGTGGTCAGATAAGTTCACTTTTACCACCTAGCTTTATTTGCAATTTACAAGCAAGCAGCAGTGTCTGGAGAATTGGAAAAAGAGCTAATATGTTTGAAAGTGACGCTGGGTGGTATGACAGACAGAATACTACTAGAATAATAGTTTTATTGTCGCTGGTAGAGACGACACAGAGATTTTCAGAATGCAAGTGATTTTAACGCATGGAGGAATGGAGACGCTCCAATCAGCAGTTGCTGCGGTGCATATTGTTAGAATGATGAGTTTAACTTTAACAAAATATTCCTAAAGTGTTATAAAAGATCCAAATATTTTTGAAGTTATAAAAAGACCTTCTAAAAACTTGGTGCATCCTCGTAAAACCAAAAGCTAGAGCATCTGAATTTAGAAAATAAAATATCTGTAATTAGTTTCTAGCTCTCGGCTCAAACTGTGTGGTTCTATCACTAGTTTTCACATGTGTGTATTGTTGTCCTCTGTCACATCTTTAGACCAACTTTTTCAGTGAAAAGAAGATTAATCTCAACACACATGTTTTCTAAAAAGAGAAATACATCTTGTGGTCAGAATTGTTCTTAAAATGCTCACTTTAGCTTTGATCAATTGGTCAAATACCAAAGTAGAGAATGTAAATAACGAACAGGTCTGAAATACAAGTTTTCTTTGATAATGAACATGGAAAAGCTATGCATTCATATATACTGTATATACAGTACAGACCAAAAGTTTGGACACACTTTCTCATTCAATGAGTTTCCTTTCTTTTCATGACTATTGACTAGATTCACACCCAGGCTGTGTAAGGGCTATTTGACCAAGAAGGAGACTGGTGGGTGCTGGCCCAGATTACCTCCACAGTCACCGGACCTGAACCCAATCCAGATGGTTTTGGGGTGAACTAGACCACAGAGCAAAGGCAAAAGGGCCAACAAGTGCTAAGCATCTCTGGGACCTCTTTCAAGACTGTTGGAAGACCATTTCAGGTCACTACCGCTAAGAAGCTCAACAAGAGAATGCCAAGAGTGTGCGAAGCAGTAATCAGAGAAAAAGGTGTTCAAGAACCTTTAATATAAGACATATTTTCAGTTGTTTAATTTTTATTTATTTTTATAATATAAAGATATATATTATTATAATGTAACATTAAAATATATATAATAACATATATATACAGTATATACAGTACAGACCAAAAGTTTGGACACACTTTCTCATTCAATGAGTTTCCTTTCTTTTCATGACTATTGACGGTAGATTCACACCCAGGCTGTGTAAGGGCTGTTTGACCAATAAGGAGAGTGATGGTGCTGCCAGATGACCCGGCCTCCACAGTCACCGGACCTGAACCCAATCCAGATGGTTTCGGGGCTGGACCACAGAGTGAAGGCGAAAGGGCCAACAAGTGCTAAGCATCTGTGGGAACTCAGACCATTTCAGGTCACTACCTCTGAGAAGCTCATCAAGAGAAAGCCAAGAGTGTGTGAAGCAGTAATCAGAGCAAAAGGTGCTACTTTGAAGAACCTTTAATATAAGACATATTTTCAGTTGTTTCATACTTTTTTTTTGTATGTACATAATACCACATGAGTGAATTCATAGTTTTGATGCCTTCAGTGTGAATCTACAATTTTCATAATCATGAAAATAAAAACTCTTTGAATGAGAAGGTGTGTCCAAACTTTTTGTCTGTACTGTATATAAACAATTCCATTGTAAGTTCTCCTATTGTTTATGCACCAAGGTTTGTCATGTAGGGCATTGACTGATGGATGAATACAGTAAATTCTATTTTCTTGCAACAATCAACACGTGATGATGGTGTGACGTCAAGCGTGCAGTCATCAACAGGAGCTTCAAGTCAAACCGAAACCAGCTTTTGTTTCACAATTAGAGATTAATACTTTAATGATTGCTTTCTATTATTGTGACTTCCTTTTTTGAAACTCCAAAACATACAACAGGCGAGTTAAGTTTACATAGTTGGATCTGGCAGGTGAGCGAGGTTGCATCATCACAGAAGGTAAGAGCAGCGCAGGTTCCCACACCTTTTTTTTTTTCTGAAAAAAAAAACCCACATGGTTCACCACCAGCTGAATCTGAAACTAAAATGAAACCCTAGACTTTATTAATAATGCAACGAGTCATTCTCATCAAAGTTTGTTGAAGAATCAAGCCGATAAGCACACAAAAATAAGTATTAACGCATTTGTGTCCAAATTTC